TACCCTGATGACACACTACTTCGCTCCCTGTTGATGGATCTTCACCAAATTTGGCATGAAGGTTTGTTGGGTCCATGCGGAGATACGCGCAAATTTTCAGTTTTACGTTTGCGGTTTTTATGGGCGTTTTTGCGTTTCTTACAATTGCATACAAGAGAAGCAACTTTTCATGTTCTAGGATAACCTTTCATTAATCATGTTTGTTTGTTTCGAATTTCGCGCAAAGCTATAAGAGGGTTATATGTGCTAGCCGTCCTTAATTTAGCAGTGAGAGACTAGAAGGGCTACTGGGCTACTCTTTAAAAACGAATAGTGGGATTGATCGTACATTATAATGTCCCCACGGCTGAAAGGACAAGCATGTATGGTGGAAGGGGGATTCGAATCCGCAACCCTCAGATTGCGAGTCAAGCGCCCTAACCACCTGGCCATGCCGGGCCTCATTGATCATGAAATGACATAACTTCCATCCAGGGGACGGGTACTCCAGCTAGTAATAAATATAGGATGAATTTTGTATATTTCCTTATCTGTCAAGACTTTTAGGACACCCTGTATAACAACAACAAATGTTTATGAACATACAAATTAAAAATTAATAATAAATAATAAATCAAATGAACATCTGAATCGTACAAGAAATAGCTTGAATAACAACTGTGTTAAATGTAATTAAAAAGAAAAAACTATATTAAACATGCTATGAAGTGTTTCTAACACAACTAATCCGACCATTGAAAACTTCCGTAACCGTACAAAATACGCAGAGAGGAGACCAAGAAGTAATAAACAAAGTTGAACCTTCAATAACAGTCGAAAAATAAACGTCATAAGGTTCGAGAATGTTCAAGAATAACAATAATGTTTAAATAAAAGTTACAAACAGTGGTAAATATGACAATTAAAAGAATCAGTAAAAATAATGTTAGTTATTTGATGAAATAATGAAGCCATTGTATAACTAGTATTAACTCTGTATATAGTTAGAGCTTAAACTAACTGGACGTAAAACCAAAGGTGATCAATACACTATAGCAGTCCAGTAATACTTTAGCTAATTAGACAATCTTTTTTGTGCAACTCAGAATCAGTTTATTTTGAGAAGTCTGGGATGATTTCTAAATGTGTAAGGGTTACACGCCATCTACCAATACTACGTTTTGTTTCTGTATAAAGTGAAGACTGCTATGGTGTATTGATCACCTTTGGTTGACGGGGAAAAGATTTTATCAGTATAGAAATTTTACATTAATGTAATTAAGTTAGCCACACAGATAACCTCCCCAATATATATATATTTCTCAGTAACTTAGACTCCTGATGCTATACACTCATACGGGTGGTCAAAGTAATGACGGTCAGGATTTAGTTTGGACAAAATTCCGTTCTTCCGAAATTAAAACGGTGAAATGTTGAATCCAATAAATCCAGTGCACAAAAACATCTGCTTGGAAAGCAGATCCACTTGGTGAATTTTGATCGATTCCACAGTATTACCTTATAGAGTTTTTAAGAAACTAAAAACTGCTAAATCCTTAGTCGTAGTTTTTTACCACATCAACAAACAGCAAGCGTACTCTTACAGCATGTAGCTCCATCTAACGGCATGAACATAAATTGTATACATATTTCTGTGTATAATATATATAGATTGCAGAAAGTGCGTTTTTAATTTAGCAAATTAACAACGTTCTGCTTTAAAGAAATAGAATATTTTAGAACGGACTTGATTAAACTAAAACATTTCCTGCTGTGACCAGTTTTAATGAGTAGGTGAAACTCGAACTTTTGGGTTAATTTGCTAATTACTTTCATGATGAAATAATTGGAATTTTATATTTACTATGGAGAAGTAAATACGAGAGAAAAGCTTCCGTTATTTTTCTTTAATCTTCTGTTAAACCACGCCCAATTGTTGATCTTTACTTTGCAGAAAGACTCGTTATTTCTATCCACGAGCTATTTTAATAACTTAATAATCATATATCATTTTACATATGTGTTACACTAGTATGAGGGTTTGTTTGTTGTGAACTTCGCGCAAAGCTGCACGAGGGATAT